ACTGTAAGAATCATCTGAGGTTTCCCCTAAAAAGGATCCCTTTGCATTGATCCTTTACATACTTTACTCACTAAATACTTTTTTCGCCATAAGTAATGATTGAAACACCTCCATTCAAAATATATACATTGTATATATATATATATATATATATATATTTTTTTTTTAAATGTGAAGCCTGACCGAGACTCAAACCTGGGACCCTCGGAAAACCGTACTGCAGCTCTACTGACTAAGCTATCTGGCCACCTACAAACTACCTCCTCTCCCCTAATTAGAAAACAGTTCAATAGGTACTGTGACATAATCATTTTTCGAAATAATTTGGGATTCGAACCTAACACAACTTTGGGTCTCCTGAAGAGTTTTTCAACATCATTTTTACCCCATCTTACTACTATGTTTACCTTTTAGCCCTAATTGTTCTGGAATTTCATTCATTACACCCATTATCAGGAGATAATTTGGTTATCTGTTACTTGTCATTGTGGGAGGTCTGAAAAAATCGGTACGAAATAGAACATGTCCTATCCCTTACATCTAGACTTAAGGTTTCCGAAATCAAGAAATAGTAGCCTTCACACATTAATATTTGTCTGTACATCTTAGTTTTAATTGGTGTTGTACTTCAAAATCCTACCGTCTGTTGAGGCCTTTAAACTGAATAGTGCGCTGTCGGGCGCAACATCTTTTACCCGTTTATGATATTTAACCCTTTCTCCAAAAATTTAATTTCACATGTGTTGTAACCACCGATAGATACACATCGAGGCAATAAACCTTATACTGACAGATAGAGAGCGAAACCCATTCATACGGACAACATTGTGTACACCGGTGATAAAGTTTAAGCAAAACAAGCCGGTGTTTACATATTTACATTTATTTACAAACGTTTTTTTTTCTTCTCTTTTTCATGGTACAATTTATAACATGTAAATACAATTAATAGAGTAATAATTTTATAGTAAATATTTTACACATAAACTCACAAACACACAAAGTAATGATTATTTAAGTCCGAAGCTTTCATCCAATAGTAATTATTGTACACATAAACTGAAAAACGTTAATTTAAGTCCGAAGCTTTTATCCAACTGTTAAATTTAGGCGGGAAACTTTTCCATTTGACGAAGAGTTGTTTATTTCGTCCTTTTCCTCGGCTTTTTAATATTTTTCTATTTTCCATGTTTCATTAGGATCAATGTCCACTTTCTGTAACTCGCTTTCATAAAATGTGCCTTTGATTTCTTCTTGTTGCATGTCTTGAAGACGATAGATAGGCAATGTACCTCTGTGATAACTTTTATACACCTTAAACAATTCGCCCGAAAACGTTTGATGGTACGCCCTAGTAAATATAGTTTTTAGATGACTGATACGCACATAATCTCCTAATTTAAATTTGAAGCGTTTGAGATTTATATTCGATTTGTTGTTTTTAGGGTTTTGAGCCATGTAGGTTGATATTCGTACTTCTTCTTGATTACTGTCTTTGACATCTGCGGGTCTCATTCCAATAGTTCTATGATAGGTATGGTTATAGCTGTCGGCGATGTCCTGTAATATGGATAAAAATGTACTGGTTTCTTTGTACGACAAGTAGCGCATGAGTCTGGTTTTTATACTCAAAATCGCCCTTTCAGATGTGGACGCCTTTGTTTCATTTTGAGTGGGATAGTAACGGATTCCTTTCTTTTTCATTAGATCTTGGACTTTCCTGGCTTTAAATTCTTGACTTGAAAATAAATAGAGGAATGTGTAGTAGCTGTCAAAACAGTCGTATACATGTTGTAGTAAAATAACACTTGACACATAATTCATACCTTTGTCGGTCAATAATTTGGTCGAAGAACGGTTTGAAGATGTAAAAATTTTCTGAAAGGCTTGAGCTACTTCTTCCCCAGTTTTGTGTTTTAACGGTTGTAACCACACATACTTGGAAAATGTATCTATCACCAATAAAATGTATTTGAAACCCTGGTTCCAATCAGCAAATTTCACCATATCGATCAAGTCAGCCATCCATAAATCGTCTTTACCCGCACTAACAACATGATTTCGTGGGAAACGTCTTCTAACCGGTTTGTGTAAACTATAAGATTCCTGATTATGCAAGAATTTGCGTATTCTGTGCATTCCCATATTAAATTTCCCTTCATTTTTGACCACTTTGTACAGTTTTTGTGGCCCAGCAAATGCGGCTGGGTGTTTTGGGTCGAAGTATATTGACTTTAAATAATCATCCCCTGGAGCCATGTTTACTGCTGAGTGTCCAAGGTAGAAATGAAATGCATATAACTATACGTACCTATAAATTAGTTTTCAGATGTCTCCTCATCGATGTCACTTTCTTCCTCGTCACTTTCTTCATCATCAGTAATTTCAGTCTCAAATAAATTTTCAAACTCTGTCTTATGTTTTCTCAAGACTTTTGTCACGGCTGAAGTTTTGTTATAACCTTTTGAAATCAATTTATTTATCTGAGCCATAATGTTGCTGTGCAGTTCATTGTTACTAAGAGGCAATATAAAATTGTCAATTAACATTGTGTAATTATTGAAAAACACCTTTTCGTTGTTGCTGAATACGTTCTTCGTCACTTTCTTCTCCGTCATCAATCAATTTGTTATATATTCTGTCGAATTTTTCATCAATTGATTTTCTGGCTCGCTTCCATAAATTTACATAAGCCTCATTATCTTCTAACGCATCTTCTTCATGCTCACTATCGCTTATTTCTTCACGTGATCGTTTCTTCTGTCCCTGCTTTCGGGACACCACCCGCTTTTGACATGTCTTTGCACGTCATGGTTAGTGTCGAATAATTGCCCACAATCATCGCAAGCTTGTCCTTTACTTTCCATTATTTCTTCCAAATTATTGTCGTAACAATCTTGCGACTTCTTTGGTTCTAAGTAATCCTCGATGTGATCTGTTTGAACTCCAGCTGTAGAATGATTTACTTCTGGAAAACCGTTTTCTTTTATAGACCCTGGTGGGGTCACGTGACCCTCGTATTCAGCATTTTTACAATATGCATCTTGTTCATACTGTAAGTAAAGGTATGAGGTAATTAAACCAACAAACAATTTCAGTCATGTTTCTGCGGATTGGTTTCTTTATATTCACAATGAGACATTTCAATTTGTCAAGCTTGTCCGTAGACTGTTGGTATTGGTTAGTGACCCATAGTGCAAGACACATACATGGCCACAAAGAGGACACAATCAAGTTACGTACTTACAATATGAAACCCTATTTATTCTTTCTTGTTCAAATACAAAGAAAGATCTGTATTTAGTAATATCATATGAACAAACGGATACATGTATGTTGGAGAATCAAGGGTTGCACTCATAACTCCGGGATTGAGACGAGGGCCACCAATCCGATATGTGAAAATATAAGGCAATTATGCCTAGACCAGGCATATACAAATAGTCGGGAAAGATGTGTAGTTTATGACACCACAAAAGCTTGGAATTATGTGCTAACACTTACTTATTGACAGTCATGAATTCAAGTCCCATCCTAGTACACTACCCCTGAAATACTTTTTGTTACAAATGTAATGCATAGACACAACAACTTGGCTCACAGAAAAAATATAGTCAAAACACTATGCTAGTGCTTCTAGTCATGGAATAGACATACATACATATGCATTAATAACTCCTGGTTTAGAAGGCTCGGGATAAGGGGTCTAATCTAGGATATAACCAAAAAGTTATATAATTTAGTAATTGTCTATAACTGGGAACTGCTAAGCATACACTGATATAAATGAACATTTAAAGAAATTACCATTCAAGTATCATGTGTGCTTCATCAATAGCTATGCATGAAATAATGCCCTTTCGTTCCATTGCACTTAATAAGTATGTCCCTTTACCGGTGCTGAGAAGCGCCTCTGGGTGAGCATATACCAACGTGAATTTTCCTGTAATGATGTCCTCTAAAGGCACATTAATAACAACACCTTGACCCTGTGGAACTGTGTCCTCCTCATCATCAGAAATATCGTCAGCTAGGGCCTGGCCACTTTGACAATCAAAATCTAACCAGCATGCATCTATTCCTTGTTTTTTCAATGAATTAATCTGGTCCATCATGATGCTGTTCAAGGGTGTCAAAATTATGCATACTGAAGAAACCAGATTATACTTGACTTTTAACGCAAATGGTGCCACTTGAAAAATTAAACTTTTCCCATACCCTGAAGGCAAAATAGCCAGTACACCATGTTTACACAAAACATGCGTCAAACACTCTTTCTGGCAATCTTTTAGTGGTTTTACAAACCACTAATCATTTAAACACGCGTGACAGTATTTCGTCCATTGTTAGTTTAAAACCGAAAGTGAAAGTTGTTTTGAATATTTGAATAAATAGTAACGCAGTCGAGCTATCAATTGCACTTGCAATATTAAAATCTGGAAAACAGTGATCCCTTAGAAGCAATAAACAAATATAATCACTTATTGTTATATATTATGTTTAATTAAATAAAATCGTCATCCCTACGCGGACTTCTTTATGTCGGAGTCATTTTTTCCCTCATTTGGGGTGAGTAATGCGTCGTAAGACACAGGTCGATATTTGAGACCGGTGCGTATACAATGTGGTAGCGGAGGTAATGCAGTACCATCTTATTTCCTACAAAACTTCTACAAATAAAAACTAAAAACACTCGAATGCAATATGCGAGAACGCTTGTATTTAGGGACAGTACACAGTATACAAGATGACATTATTAATGTGCAACTATGGCATAAAGCAATAAATATTATAATTGATTAATAAATTTATCTATGTCACATAAATGCTTTGCAAATCGTGGTCGATTCGTCCAGGAAAAACCAAAAACCGCTATTTAATTTATTGATTTGATTGCAGTGTTATTTAAGTGCAGATATTTTTGGAAATATGTGCCCATTCGACATCACAGGTAAGTGACTGTCAAATACCTTAATGTTTGGTTCCTTGCAAAACATTTAACATTTATACAAAACGATGTTAAATGTCTACACTATGTTTCCGTTAAAAATTAAACAATACATTTTATTTAGGCAAAGCTTGTACGCTTTTAAAATATTGTACATTTCACAAAATAATTTTGGCATTGAATTTGAATGTGTGAGTGTCCCTAAGAGTTGCTCGCTAGAAACTGATTTCCGAATATGAAAACCCCGATTAAATACAGCTCGAATCATTCGAGCGAACAAAGAATGTACATAAACCGGTTTTGTATTAAAAACGCTAGTACAAAGGTACTCATCTATACGTTGTAACGATGAGTACCAAATATTAGGATGGTAATACCTTAAGTCGGGCTGTTAGCACTACATACCTGTGACATTAGTGTATTTGTAGTGTCCTGCGCATGACAAGTAATTTTAATTTTTTATTGATCGTCTTGTTTAAACTTGAAAGGTAAGGCTATCTTTTTACTTCCTTTTTCATTTTATTTTTAATTTGTAAGTATTTTACGAACATATAAAGTATAATGATGATCTTAATGTGAAACTTTGTATATTTTAAAAATCAATGGAAATTGATTAAAGAGATAATTGTTATCGACAATTGACAATCGATAATTGTTCTAACGATTAATGAAAAAATGAAGAAAAAAATGGCCACCTCCTTAATTTACTTCCTTCTTTACGTTTAAGATATTTTGCATCAGTTTAAGTTATTAAAAGAATTAAAATTAACAAGAATAATGAAAGTTGAATTACAAATTCGAACAAGTAATTTCTTAATTTTTAATAAATATTAATTTTTCAACTTTCGTTTTCATTAGATTCATCACAGGTGCATGGACAAACCATTTATCAACATTTCACGAAACTTCTGAAGTATAATATGAAACATAATATTTTTTCACTTTTCCATTTTGATAAAATTGAACGACGTAAACTTAGTACAATTAATGCAAATGTGCAATTAATACAAAACAACAATAACAACAACAAAACAAAAATGAGACAAGAACAAAAACAACAACAAAGCAAAAGCAACAACCAAAATGGCGATATAATGGATCTCGAAATTTCACTTGTAGATACATTCCGCTAAAATGTCTCCGTACTTTATTTGGAATGTGCAATCTTTAATTATATGAGGTTGACACGATTAATACCATATCAAAGATAGTTCTACACCGAAAACGATACCTTCGAGCAACAGAGTAATCATGGCAACAGGGTCTTCAAGCAACTCAGGAATTGCGGACAACCAGGCGTACACGCACAGGTGTCATAATCTGATAACGAATGTTGGTGGTATGGTATATAGACACATTCTCCAAAACGAGCTTGATTGCAGGAGAACAAGTTTAGAAGAATTTTTGAAAAACAATAAGCAGGCCATAACTGATTTGAAAACAAATCGAGATCTTTTAAATGTTTTGTTTCCGAGAAATGAAGCGGCTAAAACAGATGCAGAGTTTGACATATCGGCAATAGCATTTTTACTGCGAAACTTCTTCACCAAAGACGGCGAAACACTACACATCGGTTTTTACAGGTATTAATATCATTATGCCGATAATTGAATGAACATAATGCATAAGAAGAAAATAATACAAAAATGTACATGTATATTACAATTTAATTCTTGCAAGCAGTTTTATACGTTCGCTATGATATTTAAATGACAATTCTATGATTTAATGTTATAAATCAAAAAGTGGTTTGTCAGTCTTAACCACCTTGTCATTGGAAATTAAAATTATTACAATATTTTCAAAAGCATTTGCATTTGCTTTTTCCTTATGAAAGACAATAAATTAAAGTGAAAAATATATATTATAAAATGTTTGTAAATTTTATAACTAGTATTTGATGAAGTTGTACGATGATACAGGAGAAAATAATGCTATAAAATGCTTGCAATTTCGTTTATGACTGAGAATGTTTAAAGTGGCTAAAATAACAAAAAGCTGGGCGGGGGGGGGGGGATGACAATGTTCATGTATTATTACAGGTTTTTGTATTACATATAGAATATTTCATCAAACTGTTTCTTAATTTCTGAAGTTTCGATTTTTTTTTAGATCCGGAGATCCCACATTAATAGATGGAAATACAAAAGCATGGAACTGGTCAGTGGATGACATGTATCCTTGGAATACCAGTGTAATATACGATATAACAAGAATTAAAGAATATAGAAATATGGTACGAACGCATATTGTAATGAATAATGTCTTTCTTACACGTGAATACAGTACGTAAAAAATGAAATGTTCAGGAACTAAGTGTTATACTGCTATTTTAAGTAGACTGTTAACCATCTAAAATGATTTTGTGCATGCACGAAGTGATCTTAAGGTAATATACAAAAATATTTCTTCTTTATCAGTATTTTGTTAATTACAAGAAATACAGGCAGCAGCATATATAGCTTTATACATATTATATTCTAACAATAGCGAATTGTTACAAAAGAGTATACTATCAGCTTTTATGTAACATCGAAAATGAGATTATGACACTTTTGCACTCTTGCACGTCTCCATCAAAGTATTATACCTGCCAAAATTGCGGAATTTAATGGTGCCGTAATTACATTGCTGCATTTTGCAACGCCGATAGAAGAGGATAGATAAGGGAAGGGCCTTGGAGGTTGCCTTCATTTAACACTTTCGTAAAATTAACTGCGTCAAATGATTTTGCTTCCTGTAATTCAGTCAGTTTTAATACAGTTAATTAGCTAAACCCAACAAACGATTTGTTAGTCCTCTTCACTTTCAAAGGCCATTCCTGTATGTTCATTTCACAGAATTGTCTTTGTCAACATTGTAAAATTGTTGTTTCTAAGTCATTAAAATGGGCAAGGGGGAATAAGGGGAGGGGATAGAATGCCACACATGCGTATGTTCGAAACAGTACGTCCAGTGCATGACTTCTGTATGCATGAGGGAATTTTACAATAATTTGGTTCTAATGACCACCATAAGCATACGATGTGTGTAAAATTAACTTTTAAAGAATATGCATGTTTTATTACAGATTCATCACATAGTGAACACAAAGAAATGGCTAACAGAGATTGATTTCAAAAGACATTGGTGTGGTATGTCAGCGGTAAAACAACCTTGATGCTATATCAAAATCTTTTATATTATAAAATAATTTGTGCGATCGGTTTTATACACTCTCTAGCTCTAATTTTCTGACAACGTCTGCCACTGATGTTATATCTAAAAATAATTCTGTACTAGATTGTCACATAATCTATACAAATTCTTATGACCAGTATTCTTAAACTGTTCCATAAAAAGCATAAATTACAGATTATTTAAGAAAGTTCATGTTTTCATCTTATAGGCTCTCTTAAATCTTGGGCGTGTTTTTGGAATACCAAACATGTTTTTTGAGATAGAGACAGTTTTGCGTGAGAATCTTGACCCCAAAAGACAGGACGAAACTCCGAAGATGAGTACCATGGCAACAGGTATATTTAAATGTTCTCTCAGGCACACCGTAAATTACATCATTTATTGAAATAAGATCGCGACAAAGTATTTATTTTTGTTAAACTAGTCAAACAAAGCGATTGAAAGTTCAAACTGTATTTATGCCTAAGCAAATCCTATAATAGAAAGCACATGAAAAGGATGAAATGAAAGCCTATAATTCTTTGAAAAATTCGAAGAAAGTGTTTTATATATGTGACCCATTAATGTATAGAGATCTACTAATAAAAACTGAAATTTCTGAGTTTCTGAGATGGGTAGCGAAATAATACACATTTTATCTTGTTTATCGTTACACATTTACATAATCTAGGTAATATTTGTCACTTCATAAAATAAATTATAAACATTGATAGGTGTGGGCAAAAGTTTTTTAAATAACGATTATCATAATTTTACGTTTCTAACTAAGTCACTGGTACAAAACGTTCCGGTTGAATGATAATGAAAACATGCTGTAAAACAACCTGTCACGCATCCATCTGTTTGACACTAACTAACTTGCAAATTTCACATAATCAAAGGAAGTGTACAGTTCCAATTGGGTAATTTTAGTCCCTACAAGGGTAATACAATGCATCGTTCATCGTCTTTCAAATTTGAAAGATCCTGAGTGCGTAAATAAGTTAATTACTTAAATTTACGATTGCATCGGTTATTTATCAAAATGAACTTTTCTTAACTCATGGTTAATCATGGTTAATCATTGTGTATTTACATCAAATTGTTTATCAATTTCTTAAAAACTTGTACAATGTACATGTATTATTCAGTAATGACTTTTTGTCGTACGCAAAATGCGCATGCGCGAATAGCTACTTCCGTTTCTATTGTAAAAGCTTATAGCTAAGCTGCGCCGCAAATGCTAATTAAGCCAGATTATTAGTCTGTTAATAAATTAATCTACGTTTAGATATATAACCAATATCAAGTTAAGACGGATTCGAAATAAAATTAAATATAACAAATTTGTAGATCTATTAAATTTGCTGAACTTGACCTGGATGACAGGTATCGGTTACCATCCTAATGCATTACCTCCGCTTTGAAGAGTATTCAAATAGGCTAGAACCAATCGTAACAACTCGGCAATCTCCGTCAAGTTCGGAATCTGAATTCTTGAAGTCGCCCGAGGTGTTCCGATTGAGGCTAGAACTACTGTTAGTCTGGTTCCCTGCCTACATTTACTACGGAAACGTAGTATAAGGGGAAGGAACTCCAGACTAGAACCATTGTTAACTACATTGGAAATAAAGGCCGTGGGTTCAATCCCCAGAAGGGTCAACTTTTTCTTTCTTTCTTTTTTTTATTTTAACATTATTTATGTATCTCTCATGTCATATTTGGAAAGAAAAAAGTGTTTAAATTTGATTTTTTAATTTATATAGGTATTTATTGGCTAAAATATGCTAAATCTAGTAATAAATATGGTACCTGATATTTTCAAAGTGTAATAAAATCAAAAGTAGACGGTGAAAGTATTTCATATTTTACAAGATCAACCAGTATACTTTTTTAAAAATTCAGGGAAACTTTGAAAACAGGCACTCATATGGGTAAATTTTAAGGATTTTTTTAATTAGGCTCCCTTAGTAGGAAAATGGTCAAAAACGTGGTAAAATGGGTGGGGTAGGGTAACATTTTTATACAGATTTCATAAATTTTAAGTAGAAACCATGATTTTGCTTATGTGGATTGTTAGTTGAATGGTGCTATTTGTTTCTTACCAAAATTAATTGAAAAACATTTTTCATTAGAATGTTATTGCAGATTATTTAAAGGTTCCTCATTTCTAAAAAAAAAGCTCTCATAACATCCTAGCTTGAGTTAAGAAAAGTGGCCATAACTTGATTTCCGTACGGTAAACTTTGTTTAAATTGTGCATACAGGTGTACTTTAAGGTATATATCTGACCTATGATGTCAATATTTTAGTTCCTTATAGTGCCCATTAGGGTCGCAATACCTTAATTTTGGCATTGTTTCTAACACAGTGTTGCCTCGAGTGCCTAAGTAAATATCGATCGATGGCCAATTCTTTAAACTTTACAAGCTTTTTATTCATCTCTTGTCTGAATAACATTTTATGGTAATTAAAATATCAAGCAACATCTTTCATTTTCATTCTTTTTAAAATTTTACTTCTCTGTTATTATATATTGTAATATAATACCATTTTATTTTCAACAATTTGACACCAGTCAAACAGTCAAACGTACTGCAAATATTATCAGTTCTTTATATTTTTTTTTCAGAACCTGACAATTTGAAAGGTAAGGAATTTACTTTTGATTCGGAACGAGTGTTTATTATGCTAGAATTTGAAGGCATAAAATGATAGTCCCAAACGTGTCCACTCTTACTTAGTTAAAAGAGCTTGTTAATCCCCTTTCGCATAGCGGAAATGGGATTATAGGAATGGTCTCCGTCTGTTAGTCCGTCCGTCCGTCTGTCCGGGCGAACATTCAATGGTCTATGAGCTTCATTTCGTCCATAATTTTAGTATAAAAAAGAAGCAAATCCTATAAACCGACTGGTTTATCAGGTATTTTAACTGGTTTATGGGGAAAAATGCCACATAAAGATCAAATAAAAACACATAAACCCCAAATGTTGGCACGTCCGTCCGTCTGTCCGTCCGTCTGTCCGTCCGTAACACTTTCATGTCCGCTCCATAACTTGTTAACTGCTGAATTTTTTAAAATAACTTGGGACAAGTAATCGCCATAATGAGACGATGTGCAGAGCGCAATAATCGGGTTGCTACCCCCAAGGTCAAGGTCACACTTAAAGGTCAAATGTTAAAATGTCTTCATTTCAGAATAAAAAGTCTACACTTCGTGTCCGCTCCATAACTTTTAAACTGCTGATTTTTTTTTAAAAATAACTTGGCACAAGTGATCATCATAACGAGACGATATGCAGAGCGCAAAAATTTGGTTGCCATCCCCAACGTCAAGGTCACCCTTAAAGGTCAAATGTTAAAAGTCTTCATTTGATATTAAAAGTCTACTTTTCCTGACCGCTCCATAACTTTTTAACCGCTGATTTATTTTTGAAATAACTTGTTACAACTGATCACCATTATAAGACGACGTGAAGAGCACAATAATTGGCTTGGTACCCAAAAGGTTAAGGTCACACTTTAAGGAATAATGTTAAAAAGTATACATTCCGTGTCTGCTCCATAAGTTTTTAACCAAAGTTTTAAAAATAAATCACATGGCACAATTGATCCCCATTATAAGAAAATGTACAATAACGGATCCTTTCATATTTAACACGTTAGTTTGCTCAGTGGTGAAATAGGAATTCAGTTATCAATTTGGCATCAAGTTTAATTTATAACTTTGAATATGTGAAAATCCTGATAAAAATATCAATTACAAAAAAAGTGCTCATATTGCATCAACAGTCCTTAAATATTTTACAGAATGTTCCGCAAGAGAGATGGCTTTTCGACAAAAGTCTTTTTCTGACGTTTTTGTGGAGACTGAGGCATATAGAAATATCTCACGACGTCTACAGGAGAAAAAAATAGTTGTTATAAGTGGAAATCATGGAGAGGGCAAAAGTACAATTGCATTGAAGCTAATTTCAGAACATTATTCAAAAGGATACAGAATACTAAAAACACCCGAAGACTGGAGATCTGTGAGCACCGAAACTTGTGATGTAATATTGATTGACGACATGTTTGGAATTGCTGTTCTTGACGAAAGTGATTTAAAAAATTGGCAGCGCTATCTAAATGAAATGCAGCAGGCAGATGGTGTATTCATTATAATAACGATAAAGCCGCACATTCTACAACAAGTTAAGAAACGTATTCCATTAAAGCTTTGGACCTGGTTTGATGACAATGTTGAAAAAGTCATATCTGAGAAAATGTCAAATGATGAGCGCCGTGATATTCTGAAGAGTCATTTGAACGTAAACGGACGTGAAGTAAATAATGTTTCTTTAGACGACTGTCTCACAAAGTATACAAATCAACAATCGGCAATGTTTAACATAGGTTTTCCTCAGTGTGCAAGTATGTATGCCAAATATCTAGAACTCTTTGAAAATTCTGGATTCACGTTTTTCGAAAAGCCGATATATTTTATCAAAAACTGTCTTCGTGATATGTTGAATGGAGACACTAATTCTTTCTCAGCATTTTCTTTCTTATGGTCACAATCAAACCAGACAGTGACGATAACAGAAGTAGAGAATAAGGAAAAGGACGAACACAGTGAAATTTCTCGACGATTAAAGCTATGCAAAGTGCCCTCATCATCTTTTGTTAAAGACACATTGCTTTTATACAAAGACGGATTCATTAACTATATTGAAGACAACGAGGAATTCCGCTTTAGTCATGATATTATTGCCGACGTAGTAGGTTTACTGGTTTGTGAGAAGGATATCAACAATGGCATCAATCTATGCTCACTTGATTTTCTCATGACGTACGTCACAACAGCCGACATAACAGATAATGAACGAATAGTAAAAGTATATATAACGAAGTCAAGATTTGAACTATTGCTCAAACGGCTGTTGTATTTTTATAGATCAAATAAGAAGGTTCTATCTCATGATGCCTTCGGAAATGAAAATTTCGTTTCAGAGTTACAGAAGAGAGAAGATGTAGACCTTAAAATCTTTGAAATATTTCATGACGCGTGTACTGAAGGTGCTAGTAATACTGTTTCGTGTATGTTAAAATGTGGAATAGAAGGACATGAAGTAGAGGGATTTAGTCCCATACACATGGCTGCAAATTCTGGTCACTATAAAATCGTATCTTTATTCGCTGAGAAAAATCCCGAACTACTCAAATTGAAGATTTCAGGTGGAGAAAATATATCACAAAAGTATCGAGGAGCAACAATATTACACATAGCAGTTCTTAACGGGTTTGATGCGATGATAAATGAATTTTTTAAGCATGCTGATGTCAAATTAAGAGATTGTGAAGGAAACACGCCATTACTCCTTTCTATAAAGGAGCGTAAAAATAAAATAACACGGATTTTTCTTACAGCTCAAGATGCTGAAATCAATACACCTGACTTTAATCTTTCAACCCCTCTGATGGAAGCAGTAAAAAACAAAAGTCTTAAGATCGTTAAGATGCTTCTTAGTTACAAGGTTAAGGATATAAATTGCCTAAATATGAATAATCAAACAGCACTCGACATTGCTCATCTAAAAGAAGATAATAAAATAGTGAAAAAACTAAAGGATTACGGAGCTAAAACCGCAAAAGAATTGACTGATCTGAATGAGTGAATAATGAATAGGTGCTTTGTATTATGCTATGCAATTGCAAGCATAGGTCAGAACGTACTTCCACATATATAATAATAACAATATTTTGGCGGAACAGGTACTCGTACAAATCATTTATGGAAAGCCTTGACTGTCTTATGATTTTAAAAATGAACGTTGTTGTGTCACTCGTTCTTTATACGATGTGCACTCATGAGTATATTATGTAGATGCATCTTTATATGAAGTCAACTCAACAATATATGATGTCAATGTGACTTTATATGATGTCGCCCAGTCATTATACGATGTGCATTTATGAAAATATTATGTGGTTGCATCATTATATACAGTCAACTTATCAATATATTATGTCAATCTTTCATTATACGATGTGCATCTATTATTATACGATGTGCATTTATTATTATACGACGTGCTTCTATTATTATACGATGTGCATTTATGAATATATTATGTGGTTGCATCATTATATACAGTAAACTTATCAATGTAATTTGGGAACAGTCAAACTGTTGGCCCGAGGTGGAGGGGTAGTGTTTTGAACTGTTGCCCAAGGCCGTAGGCCGAGGGCAACAGTTCAAAACACTATCCCGACACCGAGGGACAACTGTTTGACTGTTTCCAAAATCACATATGAAATAACTGTTTTATTACCTGATCAATTACTGTTTTAACAGACTTGCAGAAGAAAAAAGGTATAAGAAAATAGTTATGCCCATATGTTCATAATTAACCTTAATACTTTATGTCACGTCACGTCTGGTTCATGATCAAGATCGATGGGCGCTTCAAGTGGGATCCTCTATGACGTCAATGACGTCAGAACACACGAGGGAAACAGTCGAAACTGTTGACCGGTCAACAGTTTGCGAACGTTGACGTTTTAAGAATTTCAGAAAACAGTGAAAAATACCAAATAACATTTATATAATGCATCAGGTAATAATATACGATGTGCATCTATTATTATACGATGTGCATTTATGAATTTATTATATACTTATAAATGAAATATTGAGAAATATTGATGAAATAAAATGTGTATTTTCATTTTCCGTATTTTCACTGTAAAAATTTATTTTTCACTGCAGTGAAACATATTTTCAGTATTTTCACTGGTGTCTTGCCGGACTACTTTCATTTAAATTCTGCCAGTACACAAAATTTAATTAAGGGATTTCTTTCAAATTTTAATATCAAAAAGGTGAAAAATGTATATAATAAACAGAAAATTCAAGTTTTTCTTGTGGCATGAAAATTACCATATTTCACTCGTGGCTACCGCCACTCATGAAATATTTATTTTCATACCACTCAATGAAAATAAATCATGTATTTATAGAAAAAACTTGAATATCCTCTATATATTATGTGGTTGCATCATTATATACAGTCAACTTATCAATATATTATGTCGATTTTTCATTATACGATGTCCATCTATAATTATATGACCGCTACTTTATATGAAGTGCAAACATCATTATATCGTGTGCTTCTGTCATTATGATGATGGGGTAAAATTTACTGGGTTATATCTCACTATGCACCGTTAATGGCGTTATCTGCAACAGCGGGAAAACTCAAAGTAAGTTGTATGTTATTTATTTCTTTTTTATCTATCCTAGAGTCATTAGTTTTGACGCCCTTAAGCTGTTTAACTAGTGCATTTCTTTATATTGAACTTGATCATTAAATAATATACAATATAAAGTAACTATGGCATGTTGTTTGTCACTGCAAACCATTTTTATGTTTGTTAAAATTCAAAATCAGTTAAGTTTTGTACTTAAGTAAACAGACTGTGGAGGCATCCATTGTTGTTTACAGTCATATGAAATGACGCCTTTTCATTGGGTGGTTATTTTAAAAGGATATTTCACTGTAATGAAGTATGAACAGCAAAAGAAGTTTTTAAATGAGCAAACCTGCAATGTAACAACATCGTGAAAACTTAAAATTATAATATATTTCATATAAAACTATCCATTATTTAGAAATGTCATACACCCTGGCAGTGGTCTTAAGCTTATTAGGTGCACCTGTCTCTTTAACCTTGAATGTTTTTACCATTAACCTTGATGAATAGCATCTGTATTTGGCTTAAAGGGCTGAAAAATATATCTAAAATGAATGATGTTGTAAAGATATGTATATGTTTATTTGAAAAATGATTTTTTCTTTCTTTTTTAAACTTTATACAGTATACAATAATTAATCCATTATGAATTTTACTCAGTATCAATTAAAAACCAATTAACGTTTTCAAACAATATAAGCTGTACACCTAATGATACAGTGAATATTAAGGACACTTTGCAAAGTTTTGGTCACATGACACTCATTAGACATTTTAAAATGGAGGATAGAAACAGAAAAGGGCAGGTCAAGATTTTTGCAAGTAAGACATCTAGACCCCTTGACTTCTCGACCCCTTAAGATATTAAGATGACATCTAGACCCCTTGACTCTTAGACCCCTTGTAAGATGACTTTTCGACCCCTACTGACTTAGACATTTCGACCCCTGTTTTAAATGCTGGACTTTACTTTATTTACTTTTTCTGAAATATCAGTTGCAAAATTTACATTTTTTAAAATCTAATTTTGGTGATTAATAAACAAATCACAGTTTTCATTCGTTTAATTACGGGCTAAAATCAGATTAAAGTCCCGTGGTTTAATGTTATGGTGCTAATTTATAATTTCGTCATTAGCGCATTAAGTAACAATTCTTTATTAGATATATAATATCGCAAGTTACAAATGATCTTTGATGTTATAGAAAGCCTTTGCTAATTATTTACACACATGTTTTAATAATATCATTTACTAAAATTTGTGAAGATATACATAAAAAGGAGTATTTTCTACAACATTTCAGTTTTAATAACATTAAGCGCGTTTCCTATTAATATTGCCTGAATTGAAGGAATATTATTACAGACCTTTTTTGTGTATATATTTGTCATAATCATATTAATTTATTAAATGATAATTTATTAAATGATTATTTATTAAATGATAATGTCCGTTTTGTGTATTGCGTGCAAGGAGACTGTTCGTCCTTAACAACATGCCGTTACATGTGATATTTGTGAGAAGGTTCAACACAGAACCTGCAACACTGGTGAGTAATGTTTCATTTTTCCATTTACATATAATTCATACGAAAGTCGTATCAATAATAACTAAAAATGTGTAAACTTTATTGTTTTGTAAGACATAATAATGTTACATTGCAATGAACGTTTATACTAAATGAAATATTGAATTGTGTGTAAAAGTTTACGGAATTGCGTAATAATTGCGGAAGCTGACCCCCGCCCCATATTTATCAAAATAAAATAAAAATCAGTACTTTTAGGTAAATGATATAGTTGAAGATATATCTATTGACTTGGTCTGTCAGATATTTACAAAAAATGTATATGACACGCTACTAAAAACAATTAAAATTCGTAACTGTGAAAATTAGAATCTGCGGTTATCAACTGTATCCAATAAAAATAATTAAATAATAAGGATTTATTTTTGATACACATTTAATCACTTTCATAGATAGTTTGACCACAAAAAAATGAAAATGACTTTAATAAATTATCATCATACATCTCCCGTGGGCTGGTTTAATGTCATACATGTAAATGTTTAATCAGTGACACGTGATAGGATAAACACCGGCGCGTGCCGTTTATTAATCAAATTATCGGTCATACATGTATGTGTTTGTTCAGTGACACGTAATTGGATTAACACCGGCGCTTACCGATACTAATCCGATTATCGCTCATTAGAACGGTATAAACATGTATTATCAATAAACATAACTTTATATTTTTAATTTTGTTATAAGATGAAAAATTTGTATTTTGCAGGTATCAGTAGAATCGATTATTACATGGCACGTAAACGTTTAAGCGTTGTACAGTTCAGTTGTAGTATTTGCAGTGACGCTCCTTCAGATCAAGCAACACCTGATCATGACAATTCCGTTGATCCAGCAGACAAGGAAATGTATAATTGGAAAAAAGATTATCAATAAGAAATACAAAAAATACAGTTTCAAAAAAAGTGTATATATTGTAAATATTGCAGTTATTACATAAACATGTATATAAAGAGAGTAATAGTGTCTGCGTATTTTATGTATTGTTATTTCAATGTAACGTGTGTACATGCATATTTATTTGTGTTACTGTTTTTGTAAATAATATACATAAATGATAAATAAACGGCTGAAAATGTTCTCACCTAGTCATTACTTTGTTTTTTATTTTTAGAAAAGCACGGTCTTTCTTAATATAACAATACATTAATTAAGGGGTCGAAATGTCAGGTATATTTAAGGGGTCTAAGTGTCTTAGGGGTCTAAGTGTCAGGGGTCGAGATGTCTAAGGGGTCGAGGTGTCAAGGGGTCGAGGTGTCAAGGGGTCTAGATGTCATAGACTCAAGATTTTTCAAAGGCTATATTTGCAAAATTATGGCTTGCATAAACATCAATTGAATTTGCATTAGTAAAAAGATGAAAAAATACAGTACATATGATAAAGGTGAAGTATTTTCAGTGAAATATCTCTGTCTTTCCACATGTTTTAGTTATACGTTGTAAATACATGCTTGCAGTGCAGTCAGCAAATTATGACGTCATACGAGGTCGTTTTCGTCATTTCTTAGGTCAAAACAAAAATGGCGTCAAAATAGATGAGCGTCAAAACACATTACCCGACGACGTGTGTGTCATTAAATATTTGTATAATAAATGTACCAGAAGTATCATGTTTATTTATATATGGTTTGTTAGTGCTGTGGAGTGATTTTTGTGCTGTTTAAACTAAATTATTTTACTCTGATCACAGGAACCTGAAATTCTATCCAAAATAAAAAAATAACGATTAAAAAAAAATCCCATACATATACTATACTGGTTGGGGACCACCAAAACCGGACAACCACCAAACCCGGACGGCCCCGAAAATGCTTGATTTAGAATTTTCTTTGTTCAGTGGTTGTCAGTCACTTTTTTATCAACAATAAATGCATGTTTCTTCTATAATTAGGTAAATAAATTTATTTCAACCTCCGTAAATGGTAATATTTTAATGTCTATTTCAAGAATGTTGACGTTGAAATTTCGGGGTCAAGAAAGCAAAGCCTGACCTCATATAACAGCAATAATTATTTGCAAAGTAAACAATAGAATATCCAAAACTTCAGCATTTGCTGCTGAAATATTGTGTGTCATGTTAAAAATAAAAAAAAAAGAACACCAAAGCTTTTATCTGAATTAAATCAACATTATTACATATCTGTCCGGACACATGGTACTGTAGTATGTACAATTTAGGTAATTTTGATACCCTCCTTGACGGGCCTCGGATATAAGTGTCAACATAATCAGAACTAAACAAACTAGTTTGTTAGTTAGGAGAAGAACTTAGCTGTACTGTGTCAAATTTTCGTACCTTTAGCTTTAAAATTATGAAATTTGCAAAGAAAAATGTTCAAAAAGTGTCCGGTTGATGGTCCCTGACCAGTAAAATGTAACCTGAAATTCTATCCAAAATAAAAAAATAACGATTAAAAAAAATCCCATACATATACTATAAAAGTGTTTTTTATAGTATATGTATGGGATTTTTTTTTAATCGTTATTTTTTTATTTTGGATAGAATTTCAGGTTCCTGTGCTCTGATCTTTCGTCTCTCACTTGAAAGTTGATTCGACCTAGTCAGCAGGGTAGCAAGACACCTCATCCCCCAGACACTTCACCCGTCAGACACTTCACCCCTCCAATTTTGAAGACACCTCATCCCTTCAGACACTTCACCCCCCAAAATCAGTAAGACACTTCACCCCTCATCCAATTTTTTTCTATAAAGTAAATAAAACAAGTTGGTCAACAACAAAATGCGTATAATTTTATATGTTTATATTTATTATTTTTAGTATTATTTGATTAAAAATTTTGCTTATTACCTTTATTTTTACTAAGTTTTAAGCTGATTTAGGTTAATTGGTTGTATTGCCAAATGATATATAACTAGTGATGTTCCGATTGTCGCAAGTCGCCGATAATCAGTTACTGTTATGTAAAGCGACAATAATCGATTCCCAAAAATTTGTTCCACGACGTCGTCGAAATGTTTAAAGTATCAAAGGGAATTAATTATGAAGGTAATTTTCTTTTAGGAACACCTCGCCGATCGCAAAAAAAAATATCTCAGAGACAATTTTAAGTTGAATAGGATCAATACGTGATGTAAACAATTGTAATATAATGTGATGTGAATGTAATTATTTGACATCATTTGAAAATTAAAACTATTTCGTAAAATTATAACTATATAGGGTTAAAACTGTGTTGAAAAGTGCTAAATGAAGTTCATGTTACTGAATATAATCAAGTGCCCTGGGAAGAAATGTTTCTTCCCTATTTCTTTTTAACGCGACTTTAATCGGAAAGTTATCGATTATGTCCCATCCGATTGAACCGATGATCGATTGGGACAAATTTCATCCGATTTCCATCACTATATATAACAGCACTTTCATCCATTAAGTTTTTATTGCATGTCACCTTGTTTATTCAACATGTTGATTAGATCTAGTTGTTTATTCAACGGTTATCTCACAATTGATTAGATAATTGAATTAAAATGGTATAATTGTATGAAAATTAAATTTATTCTTAATAAATAAATTTAATAAATAAATAAATTTAATAAATAAATAAATAAAATGAATATGAATGAATGAATCGGTTGCTTTATAAAATATAGTAAATATAAATTATTTATCATCATTATCAGACACATTTATCAAGATCATTCATAATGTCATTTATTAAACAAATAAATAGCACCAGTTATGTGAATTAAGCACAAGGTTAAAGCACAAACCATCACCAAATGAACGTAACTCAATGATTATTATATGGTAAGGATCAAACTGAAAACAAACTTAAGTACCAAAACTTCAAGAATTAAATCAACTCAAAATTTATTAGACATTGGTTGAAACAATAAACATACTCAATCACTATTGAATTTATTTAACATAGTCAACATAAATAATTGTTAAACCCAAAATAAAAAAATGAGGGGTGAAGTGTCTTAATCAAATTTCTTAAAATGAGGGGGAAGTCACTTAGTGTCTGCAAAAAAATGGCCTAGGGTGAAGTGTCTGGGGGTTGAAGTGTCTGTAAGCCGTCAGCAGACAGGGTTGTCAAATTCAGTGATTTCTTTTCAATTTTCAAAAAAACAACCTGTGGCTTTTTGAAGGCAGAATTATTGCATGATAAAAAAAACAGTGGGAAACCTGAAATCAAATTCCATCATTCATTTTATAAAATTTACCATTTCCATGTATACTATCAGTGGATAAAGAAACAAATTTTCTGCTTAGGCAGCACACCACACTAAATGTAGCCACAGTTTTGAAAGGCCAGGGAGGATTTCTTTGAAAGTGTAAATATTCTGGAGTTAAATGACTGTTTGAGTTCAAAATGCATTTTCAGCATCAGATTTGGTTTTGTAACATCTAATATGAACTCTGGCAAATTCGAAAATAGGGCTAGTAATAAATTGTTCAGGCAGATATTGTCCAGAACACCGTTTTACTGCATACAGTGCATTTCAACTGCAGGCTCGGAAGAATCAAGACATTTTTCAAGGGGGTACATACTTTCATCAGTAGCAAAAAATCTGCAAGGCCAAGCACCTGTATCTTTGTGATATTTTGCATGTATAGGGATTGGCCAAGAGAGAAACAGTGTTTCTATAGCTGCTATATTTGCAGGTAATTTTTGACAGAGTGACAGAAATTGTTTTTTTAGGTCTCAGACCACAGTTGATTTTCGGCGAGATACGGAATGAATCACAGTTCCGTGTATAGTTCTACCACAATACTTGTGACAATTTAGATGTTGATTTGCAATGTTTTGTGTTATGTGTTGTTAATGAAATGATTATTTTTTTTCAGGTTTTATACTTTCATAGGAGGAAGCGTTGACATTTTGTGTGTGGTCAGGGACGGCCGAAATAGGAAATTTAGTGTGGAGTGCTTATAACCTTAAGGTAAAATGATAATTTTTCAAAGTTCACATTTCATCTTCCAAATTAGCTTATCAACTCTATTAAACAAATCAACAAAAGCATTGATGAGTTTGGACACTGTGAAATCACAGGTAGCTTCAAGAAACAGCTTTAAAAAGGGAGATAATTCAAATAGCTGAATTGTTCGAGAATGCGAGAAAGCAATTTTGTGCTTGCATATCAAGTAAAATTTATGCAAAAAGACACTTATCCAGTATTTTCAGTAGATTAACATACAGGAGAATGATTATTATCATTTAAATAGTTGATTGGTCAATATTTTCATACAATTTTCATCAGTTTCTACTTAAAAATATAGACATTTCATGTACCATGGGTACATGGGATGTATTTTGTAAGCTAACTTGAAAGTCACAAGTTTGTGTTTACTATGCAAAGTCACTGAAGTTTTGAGTATATATTACTTTCTGTGCAATGGCAGAAATTTTCAGCAGTTCACACCATAATTGTGTTCTTTACTAAGATTTGAGGGTACTCCAGAGTAAAGCGAGTCCAGAAATTCAGTTCGCGTTTTCTCATTAAGTATCTAGACTGCTTATACTCTATAGTCTTTTGGCGCATAGAATGATACATTCCCTTTGTATCCATTTGTTTAAGCTGCAAGAACATTCTTGAACTCTTCTTAACGTTTATACCAATGGCATTAGCTAATTTGACTGTAGCTATACATGTGCCGAGAGTTCTAGAATGTGTTGCAGAATGACAGAGCCCTGAAAAGTTTTTTGTCCAGCACGTGAATTTAGGGGCATAATTAAAAATAGTACAATGTAAACTTTCGCATCGATTTGTATTGAAAAGTTCTGCCATAGCCTTAATGGTTTTCACATCTAAAATTTTGAGAAAAGTTGCTTTTATGTTTTCTTTATCTTGTTTATTAAGTTGTAAATGTTTTCCATACGGTAGATGTTTTGTGTTGTATTTATCAAGAATGGCCATATGGTGTTGACACACTGTTGATTTTGTACAACACGATGAGTGATTATTCGAGAAGCATGGAATAATGTTTTTGAAAGCAAGGGTACATTTCGAAAGAAAATCATTGTCTTCGTACTTCAGTGACCTTGCATTTTGCAACTCCAGACGACCACGTGCTCTCACAGACTTCGCTAAAGATCTAACAAAAATCTCCTTTTTTTGACCATACGGAAGCTTTGATTTTAATTTAATCGCTCGTAATTGTTTTTCTAAATTTCTAAGCTTATGAATGTAACAAGTGTAATGTTTTAATTTAATTTTTTTCTCAGTTTTGTAGTCTCTAATGGTCTTTGCTAGTTGCGCGCTTGCGTCTGTGGTAATAGAATTTATTTCAACTTTATTTGATTTCCGTATCTTGTCCAAATTTTTATTTAACAAAAATTTTTCATTAGCCGCAATTGAATCGTGCTGGGGGTATGTTTTCGAACATTTCAAATGATTGCAGCCTCTCTTTTTTCACAATTTATTAGCTTTAGCCTGTGAGAGTACGAGACCCCTGGGTGTATTATGCTCTATTATAGCACAAAAACATTGTTTAGCTCTCTCGCCACCCCCTGTGGCCGACAAGCATAGACGCTATCGGTTTGAACGTCTGCTCCCTTTTTCCCTGACATAGACAGGACACAGCCAAGGTAGTCCTGATTGGCCTGTAACTGGGCCTCTCCAACCTCTTCGGCCCTGTCACAGGCCTTGTTCACTTTCTTCTAAATGAGGGATGAAGAAGGTGCCTTGAAATTTAAGCAGGTGAGAACAAGTGACACATCATCCATTCCCATTCTAGATTTCGTCACCGGCATCACTTTGAAAGTGGCAGCTCTGGCAATGAATAGATACTTTGATATAAAGTCCATGCCGTCGCACTATTCTCAGGGAAATGGACGCGTTTTGGAAGTGCTGCAGATTGACCAATGACACTAATTGTTTTAAATTGTCTAATTGTACAATGATACATTCATCAATTTCAGCAACTTCATCATTTATTACCTCATTTTCAGATTTTGGTCTGAGTATGGTAGACTAACACTGTCATCATCATCACTTTTGCTGTTTCTGGTTATATGTTTTACATCAGTTGCCTCTGACTGACTAAGTCTCACAACTTGTTCAACAGGTTCATTTGGTAAGTCATTTATATAATTATCATGGCTATAATCATGTTTTACATGTTTTACTCCAGGCTTAAACTGAGTTTTTTTGTGTGCCCTGTTATATTTGCTACTTCTCCTAACTTTAGATCTACCCATATTGCACAATTTTAAGCTCCAATATATGAAAAATTTCTCAAACCTATGATCTATATTATAGAAGCATAAAGTATTCCAAATTCTACTATATATTCCAGCAATTGTCCTGCACAAATTTTCTGTATAAAATGCATTTATGAAATCTCTGTGTGTATTAAATACCATATATGAGTCATAACTGAAGAGTTTTTGGTCATACCTCATGTTGATAAGCCTTTCCAGCTGGACCTTAATTAGTTTTTATATACCGGGTTGAATTTCTCTAGAGCAAGGGAGACAACTCAATCGGGTCTCTTTAATGTCTATCTGACTGCCTTTAAATGTGCTATGTGACTTATATTTATGGCAATTATTATAGCATTCATGAAAGCTTTTAATTAACAAGGGATTTACTTTGATGTATGAAAAAGTAACATCATTTAAAGTCTGACAGAAATGAAATTTGCTTTATTTTGTGTCATTTCAGTTACAATTTAGGTCTAAAATGTCATATATTTTTTTAAATTATGGGCTATTATTGAATATTTCTTGAAGTCTATACACTAGGGGCTCATACTTTTGCTATAAAATTGTACAGATGGTGAAACAACCAGATTTAGAACAATTCACATTGGGTAAACTTTCATTCTTTGCTTATACTGAAAGTAGCATTATAAGGGACTGAAAATGGCGCATAACGGTGTCGTTCATTAAAGACATATATAATGAAAACCGAACAACATTTCGCTATAATTTTTCCCATTTTTATTTAGATATGTATACAATTGCAGAAAAAATACATTTGAAGACTATTTATGATCATTAAGGTGCTCCTTACTACACCAGAACAGGCAAAGGTGGAGTACCCAAGGGGAGAACTATACATATATTAAAAACATGAAAAAAATTCTTGTCTGAAGTTAGAATGCTTAGAGCTTTGATATTTGGTCTAATATCATATATAGGTCCTCTACCAGGGGTCATCGGTTTTCCTTATGTGTATATAATGAAAACTTATTAAACTAAATTTCTTGTCTTAACCCATTACTTCATATACACGCCTTTTAACGCCTTTTTCACCCCCCCCCCCTTTTTGTTGTCTCAAATGATGAAAAAATGCCTTATTTAGTTATTTAGGCCCAAACACTTGTTTTTGTTTGAGAAATGTTGTTAAAAAAAGTGACCTCTTATTCGGCGCCCCTCCTCCCCCCCCCCCCACCAAAAAAAAAAGATACATCAGGGGGTTGCCAGAAGGGGGATGTGCCCCCTTCTGTTTGGGGGGGGGGTTGAAGGGGGGCGGAGTCCCCCTCATCGCCAAGAAAATTTTGGACTTGTGAGAGGCTGTAAAAGACCCCAGATTGATCATTAAGTAACGTGTAACCAATGATGAAAAGCATTTGACTCTATCTCAATCCATTGAGAAGTTGCAGCACTTTGAAATCAATTTTGATGGAAAAAATCAAAATAGTGATTTTTGGCAATTTTGAGATGTCCCCTCGTTGCCATGGTAATAAATTTTTTTAGCCTGAGCATGTTGTAGCAAAGGCAAAGGTCCAGTCAACATCTGTGCCAAGTTTGATTAGTGTTGAAGCAGTTTTTGTGTCGCCTTGAAAAGGTGACATATAGGGGTTACTATTGTCGGCGGTGTCGGCGGCGTCTGTGTCGGCGTCGTTGTCGGCGTCGTTGTCGGCGTCCCCTAAAGCTTGTCCGGAGCATAACTCAGTCACTATAAGTCTGATTGACTTCAAATTTGGTATGCATGCTTCTTTCAATAACCCGAAGTGCAGTGCACAAGGACCGGTACTCTGCAGTTCTTATTTTTTGAGTTATTGCCCTTTGTTAATTTTCATACTTTAATTTTGTCCGGGCCATTTCTCTTCAACTAAAAAAGCTATGGACTTGAAACTTCATAGGATGATAGATCTCATTATTAAAAAGTGCAGTGCACAAGAACCAGTACTCTGCACTTCCTAATTTTTGAGTTATTGCCCTTTGTTAATTTTCATACTTTAATTTTGTCCGGGCCATTTCTCTTCTACTAAAAAAGCTATGGACTTGAAACTTCATAGGATGATAGATCTCATTATTAAGAAGTGCAGTGCACAAGAACCAGTACTCTGCACTTCCTAATTTTTTGAGTTATTGCCCTTTGTTAATTTTCATACTTTATTTTTGTCTGGGCCATTTCTCCTAATGTATAAAAGCCATGGACTTGAAACTTCATAGGATGATAGGTCTCATTAAGAAGAAGTGCAGTGCACAAGAACTGGTACTCTGCATTTCTTATTTTTTGAGTTATTGCCCTTTGTTTATTTTCATACTTTAATTTTGTCCTGGCCATTTCTCCTTAAGTATAAAAGCTATGGATTTGAAACTTCATAGGATGATAGATCTCATTATTAAGAAGTGCAGTGCACAAGAATCGGTACTCTGCATTTCTTAATTTTTGAGTTATGGCCCTTTGTTAATTTTCATACTTAATTTTTGTCCAGTCCATTTCTCCGAAAGTATAAAAGTTATGGACTTGAAACTTCATAGGATGATAAATCTCATTAAAAAGAAGTGCAGTGCATAAGAACTGATACTCTGCATTTTTTATTTTTGAGTTATTGCCCTTTGTTGATTTTCTTACTTTATTTTTGTCCTGGTCATTTCTCCTCAAGTATGAAAGCTATTTACTTGAAACATCATAGAATGATAGATCTTTTTGATAAGAAGTGCAGTGTACAGAAACTGCTGCTCTGCACTTATTATTTTTTTAGTTATTGCCCTTTGTTATTTTTCATATTTCATTTTTGTCCTGGCCATTTCCCCTAAACTACATTGTTCACAAGGCGACACATCCGACTCGCGGAGTTCTAGTTATAGTATTATAGCAATTTGAACTTGTAACGGGAGACTTTTCAATGAAAACAGTCATTTTTCACAAAATCCTCATGAAGTAATGGGTTAAGGGGCAAGGCTTAGTGCTAAGTCAGTGTTTCTGCCAGACTAGATTTTTTGAGGGTCATTTGAGACCCTCTGTATAAAATATAAGGGTCATTTGAAATTATTACGGGTCAAATTTTAAATAAGTAAAAACTATACTTGTAGTAAATATCAGAACTGTTTGCTTTCTCACATGAACTTCAATTTCTCACTCTTTGGGGATGCAAATGAAAAATCTTGAAAGGAAGAATGCATGAAAACATTTAACCGGTCATACTTTATTGCAGAAACTTTGATATTTTTAGCCACTAAAGCAGAGATGTAGATAACATTGTTATCTATGACACTGACTTAAAAGCCCTTCTTTTGTGGTGAGCTTGCCATTGTGAGAAATGTGTCTGCATGTTTACACCTGACCTTGGCGTGCATGTCTAGATCCTGGATACCGTGACTGATTGTAGGACGGTTAAATGTTGTGCCGATAACGACAAAGAATAAGTTAGCATCTTAAACATACCCGCAGTTACCGGAAATAAATCAATTTGGGATACTCAAACAATAATTGCTGATTTTAACAGGATGGCACTAATAATAGGAGAAATAACTTAATGAGAATGCATCTCATTACATGTAAAGCAGATTATCACTGCGTCATAGAAAATGCGCTGTGCTTTTTCCAATTTTGCGTCATTCGTGAAATTATTGTGTCAATAACTCAAGAGATGCAGAGTAGCGAAAACACTGAGTGCTTTGATATTTGGTATATGATATCATCTTTAGATTATGTCTCTAGTGTCAAAATTGGCCCCATCCCTGGGGGGGGGGGGGGTCACACAGGTTTTCTATATATGTATATAGTAAAACCTTAAAAAATCTTTTCTGAATTGACGATGGCTAGAGGTTAGAGATTTGGCATGAAACATTGTGTTGTGGACATCTACCAAGATTTTAAACATGTAACATTGTGTTGTGGACATCTACCAAGATTGTTTAAATTATAGCCCCTGGGTCAAGATTGACCCTGCCCAGGGGGTCATTGATTATCATTATGTATGTATAGTAAAAACTAGAAAAATCTTCTTATCTAAAGGTACAAGGTATAGAGCCTTGATATTTGATATTTTATATCATTTATAGGTCCTCTACCAAAGTTGTTCAAATTTTGCCCCTTGTGTGAAAATTGGCCTTACCCCGGGGGGTAAAGATTTTCCTCAAAATTTCTTCTCTGAATTGACAAAGACTAGAGGTCAGATATTTGTCATGTGTAGTTGACATTTACCAAGATTGTTCAAATTATAGCCCTGGGGTCAAAATTGGCCCCACCCTGAGGTCATTGAATTTCATTATGTACATGTTATATGTTATATTAATACGGTGGCATAGCATTTTTTCACTAATGCACTCTTGTTATGTTTGCAGAAATAGGTAATGCTTAATTGAAAAAAAAAAACAACTGTATTTCAAATAATGCAGCTATCCATTATACAGTAAATAACTAAATTTTACAGCAAATACAAGAATATGAGAGCTATTGTAGTCGCCCCGGCGTCAGCGTCCGCGCCTGCGTTGCTTAAAGTTTTTTGTAAAGTCAAATATCTCAATTATTGCTTGAGATATTCAATTGAAACTTACAATACTTATTTACAGTAACAAGGTACATCAGATTGACAAGTTGGATAACTCTGCCTACAATATTGACAGAATAATGCCCCTTTTTAACTTAGAAATTTTGGTTAAAGTTTTTTGTAAAGTCAAATATCTCAATTATTGCTTGAGATATTCAATTAAAATTTACAATACTTTTTTTATAGTTACAATGTACAACAGTTTGCAAAATTGCATAACTCTGCCTGCAATATTTGCAGAATTATTTGCCTCTTTGAAACTTAGAATTTTTGGTTAAAGGTTAAAAAATCTTCAAAGATATTTACTTGAAACTTTACACATGTTCTTAGGGTCATAATTGGAG